TAAGATTGAGTACTAATTTCTTAAGTGAGCTTGGCAAATGGAAAGTAGAAGAGGAAGAGTTTGGAGTCCACCATGACTTACATGATAGAACAAGAGTCCTTGATGAGTAAAGTCAATTCTTGAAGCTCAAATGTCATATTAGAACTATATGTGCATGAATATTTGACTTGTCATCTTGTTGATAATGCATGAGTAGTGTTGGTAATTGTTGGTCCCAACTGATGTGTGATTGGCTCACCTTTGACCTGCTAAAATGACACTTAACTCTAGGAGGTGGGAACTAATTTATTTGCTTGAGGACAAGTAATGACTTAAGTTTGGGGGAGTTGATAAGTGGGAATTTTGACTATTTATTAGAACCTTTTTGCTTTTGTTTTAGTCCGAAAGTATTGATTTATGTTCCCGAAACTAATAAAAGTATGCAAATTACAAGAATGTAGGAAGTTTGATCTCCCATGATGAAATCCTACTAAAAATGAGTGTTCTGAATCACAAGGCAAGAAAGGGCGCATAACTAAAGAAGTACGGTCCGCGGAAGGATTTTTGCTGCCGCAGAAGAAAGTGCGGACCGTAAAATTACATCTGCGGCCGTAGATAGTGAAAGAGCCCAGTAGGAATTTGGCAAATTTGCGGCCGCAGAACAAGGTCTGCACTGACAAATAATTCAAAGTTCGGAGAGAGTCCAAAAGACCAAGTCTGAAAGCCTTGCTGAAGTACGGACCACAATAGAATTGTGCTGCCGCAGAAGATGCTTCGCAGCCGTAATCCAGAATTGTGCGACTGCAAAATCCAAGATCTTTCCAATTGAAGAAATCTACGGACCGCACATGGATTTGTGCGACCGAAGAACCTCCCGAAGTTTCACATTTTAAGGTCAAGTTTCAAAGTTTGAGCTACTGTAGCCGTTACATTTTGTCGTTTTGGGAAGTTTGTGACTATTTTAGTGTTTAAACATTATATTTTATCATTTTATTCTTAGATTATGAGTTTAATTAGCATTTCTTTTTTATTTTCTTCAATTCTCACTATGCGTAGCTAGATTCTTACTATGGTTGTGACCCAACCCTAATGTGTAAACTTTATGGATATTTAATTTAATGCTTGTTTATGATTGGGTGTTGATTATTTAGCTTAGTTTATGCTTCAATTTTAGAATTAATGGTTGCAAACATTGATTCATGCCTTTTTGACTTAGTCTCTACCTTGAGAAAGAGGGACCTAGTTTAGGATAACTTGGCTAACCAAGAATTGGGCTAATTGAGGGTTTGATTAGCCCAAATAAAGGGTTGAAACTAGAGATAGTGAGAACTCGACTTGATCTCATATCAACTATTTTGTTTTATATCCATTTGGACTTGAGAAAGTCAAATTGGGGAAAATCACTCTTAGAGGGATAGGTATTGAGTGTGTAACGTAGAGGTGAGAGCTATAATACACCCCAATCAACAAAATAAGTATTAATGTATTTAACTAATTAGGCAAACACCTAGATTATGGTCACATCCCTAGGCTTTTTAATTATTTGAAAAAATACCAAAAATACTAATTTACTTCGTTTCTTTTCTTAGCATATAATTGCTATAGTAAAATTAGAATTAGAACTCAAAACCTTTTGTGGAAGTGCAATTTAGTTATTCCTTTCACTTTCGTCAAGTGTATACTCCTAACACCCCTAGTAACTCCCTGTAGAAATCAACCTCGATTCTTGTTGGGTACTATTTTTCCAACGACCGTTTCTACTCACTATTGAGTGTGGTTTGGACGTGGATCATATTACACCACAGGCAAGCCTATGGTACATCTTGTGTGGCACATGACTTTTACTTTTTAGAGTGAGTTAATTCTTCCTATTCTATGTCCCTATTTGTTCTTGATTTTTATGAGTTAGAGATTACTCTTTATTGTTTGTTGTGAGGGGCACATGACTTGCGAGTGAAAGGTAATGTCTTTGGATTCTAGGTTAGAGTAATTGAGAAGGTTCTGAAATAATAATTGGTAATTTTGAGTCAAGTCTTGATGCTGGGATGTTACAGTAGGGAGATTAGTCTAATTTAAATATTTTTAGCATGACGAGTTAGGAGTGTTAGTTAAAAAGGTCGTCCCTATTTGAAGTGTAGTTTGATTACTCGAGGACGAGCAATTATCTAAGTGTGGAATGTTGATGGTAGGCTAGAAATATAGGTTTTTGGATACATTGTACCTATTATTTGCTACACTTTAGTTGTGATTGAGCTTAAATGTGAAGATTTTATACTCATTATGTGATTTTCGTGTTGGGTGTAATTCTGAGCTATGACATATTTTTGAAGCTAAATCGGATAATTTGAAGCTTAGAAATCTGAGTAGAAGCCCAAGGAATTAAACTGGGATTGTGTTTGGGGTTCGAGGACCAAGTCTGGATACTAAAAATTGAAGAAAATTGAGTAGCGCAGAAAATTGCACTAACGCGCCGCATGGCACGCTGCGGCTGTGCAACTGTTGTTGTTTCGGACAAAATACAAAGCCTATGATAAAGTACACTAATGCAGTGCATGGCGCGGTGCACCTGTACAATTTTCAGTCCAACTTTTCCTACTTCGGTTCAGAGAGGATAGTTTTAGCTGGACCCCTTCCTATAGGGTATAAGTACACCGAAAATATAATTTTGAGGAATCTTTTGACCTACGAAAAATTGAGAGAGTGTTGGAGGATTCAAGACACAATATTTCATTATTCTTCACCAATTCAATACGTGAGTTTGAATTGTAAAGTTGGATTTATGTTTCTTATGTTCTTAAATATATTTGTGATGACTTTCTCCGTGATTATGAAGTAGTTTACCTTAGAGCTTCTCATGGTTGATGACTTGATTATTATCCATGGAATTGATTATTGTTTCATTGCTTGATTTATTGAAAGAGCTTTAACTCTATTTGTAATTTTATTCATTATCGTGTTTAATCGGAAGATGAGCATAATATTGAATTTTATTGCAATGCATGTCTTAAATTATTTTGGTGTTTCTTTAAAGTAATCTAAAGAGTTTTGTGATCTACTGTTTGAATTAAGATTGAGAAATTTTCGTAAAAAGTTTTTTTTAGACTATTCTTACTAGTAGATTCAAGTTTTACTGTACTTCATATTAACTTATTTGAACGGTTTAGATTTAATAAAGAGAGGAATATGAATTAGAAGATAATAACTTGTTGAATTCGTTATAATCAATAGAATATTAACCGTAAAAGTTAACAGTATCAAATCTAGAATAGTAGTTTTGTACCTATCATGTCACGACTCTTATTTCTCGCGCTGATAACAATCCAATATTGCTAATCTCTAGTTCCCCATGATCAATTGTCGCTTGCTTTAATTTAGTAGTTAATCTTAGTTCTTTATCATTTCAAACCAAAGTGTTAATCATCCTAGATAGCAGTTGACTAGAAATTACTTGAACGATATTTAAATTCAACCCATGTGAAAACAATAATTTTACTATACTATCTTTGATTAGGGAGCATTAATTTTCCAGTTGTATTTTGCGCCTATAGCAAAATTAAACAAAGAAATTAATCCAACTAATCAGATTAACTTCTTGTGTGGTCGGCATTTGTTTGCTGATCGTGCTCTTTGATGATTGATTCCAAGTTGTTTCCTTAAGAGATGGCATGGCATATGTGGTGGAAAAGATGAGAGTTTGTTTGGATCCTTGGACTTTATTGATAATAATAAGTTAATGATATATCCTTGAACATGAAAAAATTTAATTTGTTCAAATCTTAACAACTATGAACTGTACATATGCTTATCTTCTCCACATCAAAGTATATTCTAAAGTACTTTAAGATGATGATGGTGCTTTTTTTATTTCTAAAACAAGTACATTAAAGGAGCCACTTTTCCATGCAGAGTGAAGGAGACTGTCTTTGATCTTAAGATAAAATAAAATATAGTCTGTTTTTTCATCTGAGTGGATTATTCTCTTTTTATGAAGTTCAAAAAATGAGAGATATTTTATTTAGACCAAAGATCATTATCCTTCCAACTTATGAAAACATCAAGAATGGATGTTTTTAAATACTATATTTCTTAATTATAAATCAACTAGTGAAGTTATACGCGCTTCGCGCGCGCGATAATAGTAAAAAACTTAAGTAGACTAATAAGTGATATTTTTATAAATTTGTTGGATAAAAATAAATCTTATTATTTTACGCATATAGAACTAAATTTTGTAATTGATTAAATCACAAATACAAATATGTTCATTAGTATTATTTGTGAAATCTTTGAAGATGATAAATTGACAATTATCTTCTTACCAATTCCACCCAATCCTATCTTGGCGATTACCGAATAAATTGACATGTATTTTACAAATTATAAAATGTTTAAAAATTAGCAGTAGCATTAAGAATATCATTAACTCCTATATATCTTTTTGTGTACAATTTTTAGCAACAACAATTGGGCATTTGAATAAATGGTAATTAGGATGAGATCTCTCTAAGAACTAATTTTCTAGGAATGGTATGACAAATGAAAGAGGGTATTTTCCATAATTCTCAAAGACAAAAATTCCACTTACAAATCAAATAGCCAAGGCACATTGCTTAAGAAGCAAAGACTACTTGAACCTATGCTAATACTACATACATCTAATAGAGTATGTGCATTTGGGCACTCAACCAATAGTATCATCTATTGATTTAAAATTTTGCAATGGTAAGGTCGCAGTAGAATGGAAATGCATCAATCCCTCCCAACTTTTATAACACACAAAGTAATTAGTCATGAACTGTTTATTCTTTCTTGAATAATTATATTTTTCATTGATATCTTCCTCACAACTTAAATGAGATAAGTAGTATGATGAGATATTGAGTCTGCTATTCCAAATCCTTAAGAGAAATTCAAATTAGGGAAAAAATACTAGGATAAGAAACCAAAAAATACTACGAAACTAAGAAAAAAGTCAAAAATTAAACCACCAAGAAAGCTACAGTATGTTATGACAAAGAACATGAACCAACGTTATGCAAAGTTTCTTTCATATTTATGGAAGTCCGAGTCTTCACTCTAAAGCACATCTCCTAAGGATAATACAGTAATCTCTCATATTGTCTAGCAAAATCATATCCAGTTCCATATACATCCTGGCTCCCATTTAGTAAAAGTATAACTGAAATTTGATTCACAGTTAATGCATTAAGCTAAGTTGCGAGAATCTGCCGGTGGCTTTAAAACCATTATAGAAGGGAATACGCTGGCGTTATCTTGATGCATTTCAGATGACTCTCATAACATAATCTGTCATTATAAAGATAAATGCAGATTAGTTGGTATAATTACTAAGAAATCAAATAGAGATGAGGCCTAGTTATTTAAGGATCATATCCGAATAGCTGTATCATCCGACAAAGGTAAGAAAAATAATAAGCAGTGAATAATTAACAGAGCCAAATACAGGGTTCAGTTGAGAGAAATTTAGAGGGTTTGAACCGTTATCTATGTCCAAGTACCAAAATAGCAATAATTATTGTATACTGTAGTTGTTGGCAAATAAAGCTGAATTTATACGACGTTCAAGTCCTTGTTCACATTCAAATAAGCATCGATAGATTTATCAAAAAATAATGAGAGCAACAATAACAAAATTTTCAGTTTATAGTTTAATTCTTGACAATAAGTATTGCACTTGAGAACTTGTGAAAAGTTGGTATAAGATTCTTGATTAGAAGTCTGCACATAATACATGAAGAAACATAAAGGGGCAATATAGCTTTGGGGCTTGCCTTTTTCAAAAACACAAAAAAGGATGAACCACATCTTTTCCCTTGTCAAATAAATCCAATGAGGGAAAAACATTGACGCTAAGTAACTACTACATGAATTTTTTTTAAATGAACTTAAGGATACGCAAGCTCGCCAGACACGATTATTTAAAAATAATCTAGTAATATACATAGAGATCACACATGCATTACTATTATGTATATATATGATATATGAGGAAAGAAGAAAATAGCAGATTCAATATTCTAACCTGTTTCTCAAATAGAACAGGAGGTTGTAATAGCAAGACTACCCTACAATTGAGATGCAATTGACATGATTTATATTTGGAAGAAGACGATTACGTGTTGCCTCTCGATTTTTGAGGCATTGTTGTAGACAAAATTGCTCTTTCTCAGGCATTATCATGAGCTTCCTTCACCGTGCGAGGCCTTTTTGTTTGGGATGATCCATTTTAAGTGTCAATACTAAGATCATCCTAAAAATCTGTAATATTATGATTATTCTATTTCATCAGACAATCATTTACTACAAATAAAGAAAGAAAATAAAAAGATACCACTTAACATAGATAAATAGCAGTATGGTATAAAGAATATACTTTTAACACTTAACAACTTGGAAAGTAACTTTCACTCTAGACGGACAATAGGTAAATGCATTAGAACAAGGTGATGGTTGTGGAAAGACACTATCTGGAGCATGTAGATTCAAGATGTCACTCATGATTAGGTGATGGTTGGAGTTAAGATGTTGATCAGCTTCTCGTCTTCTCATTCTTTTCCTATTTTTATTTTTATTTTGTTTAACAGCTCTTCTACACTTTGGCTTTGAATCAGTGGAAGCACTTCTATTATTGCTGCCACATTTACTATTTCCTAATTTGTTATTCAGGAGAATGATATAAAGTGTAGATCATGAGAGGTACTGCCTAACATGACCAATAATTCAGAAGGGGAAAAAAGTGGTTAACATTTGCGAGTAATGACATACATGGCCTAAATGGATAATCAACATTGAGTTGTGTATTCACTGTTTTTGTCTGTTATAATTTTGTTTATAATATATAGTAGACAAAAAATTACTCTGTTAAACTAAATATGTAATAAAGTTTATTCAATCACATCATCCTTTCACTAAACTAAATATAGGATAAAATTTAATCAACATCATCTCTTCACTAAGGAGTAAAGAACACTTATATAATAGAGTGCACACAAGAATATGAGATAGAATATATATCATCACAATGCTGCTGCAAAAAAAGTCTTTTTTTGTGACCATCAACGATGTTGCTGCTATATTAAATGCATAAGCCGCTCTCTAATCACACAAAAAGAGTAGAGCAGGAAATCATAATAGAGCAGAACAAATATACTAACACTAATATTGCAACACTTCTGTATAATTGAAAGAAACTAAGATTTAACAGGAATTTTTACCACTATGCAATACAAATAGCCGAGATCAATAATAATCTAATTTAGTCAAAACTCCATATCACTAAACTATAATCAACATTTAAAGATATTGTTAATGAAGTTCGTTATCATTATTAAACATATAAATAAAAGGGCATTCTTGTTCTCCATATAAAACACATCCTTAGTTTCTCAAACTTTTTCACGCTGTTATGTTCCTTCAAATTTTGCACGCCCTTTTGTTCCTTTTCCACACCATCTCCCATCGAGGGAAAAAATTGTGTCCTTGAGTGAAGGTGTAATTGTACATTTAGATCATGCAATTGAACGATCACAAGATATTCACTTCCCATTTTTGTTTTAAAAAAAATTCATGTCCTTGGTAATATTTACTATGAGAATTACCGACCTGTTGAGATAGCACCATTTCCTGAAGCCGTGGGGGTGGGCAATGTCTCCCTATAGTACCTTTTTTCAAACACTTCATGGGCGTCGAATAAGCATCTCATGTTTGGTTCTTTTAAGGATATTTTATCCGGTTCTCCAGTAATGTAATGGTAGCAGCGAAGTGATTTAAAGATGGAGTCGAATAAAAAACCAAAATGCATATAACTGGAGGCAAAGTGAAAAAGACAATGAGGGAAGAACATAGAGGTTATCATGTGAAATAAGAAAAGTAGATTGAAAAGCATAGTGCAGGAACAATAAAGAAAATAGAATAAAGAGAAAGCGTAGGAAGAAACACAGTTGTAGAAAGTATAGATAGAAACCGTTGGTTTATTTAACCGATATTTTTGACGAATATTGTTTTTTTGTGGCCCAGAATGAAAGAAAAAGGCAAAAAATTGTAATAAAAAATAAATGCAATTCCTGAATAAAGAGGCTTGTCACGTTACCGGCTCTTGTCCCTGCATTATACATATATATAGATTACATCAAGTAAAGGACTTTTAATGATTAGACAAGTTGCAGTTTATTTTACTCATAATAAACTCGGGTGCGGCTTGCTCCAATATATTTAAGTCCAGTAATGTTCACTTCCCAATTAGATTATTGCCACCTGTCCAGTTATCCAAGCTTTGGGGTACTTGAAATAATTAATAAGGCAGAAAAATTTAAAAAGAAAATTGCTAACCATATTTAAAGTTACGGTAGACTTCAACGGCTCTACAGCTGTCAAACAAGGAAATGAAAGTAGCAATTTAACATATATCCTTTATATTATTTTATTTTCCAATATTATAGACCCCTTATACTTGCGAAAAGGTAAATGTAACACTCCATAAATTCGGACTAGGTATGGACATGTTAAATGAGTATTAATGTTATATTTTAGATATATGAAATCCTATGGGATGAGTATGGGTGGAAATAGTCGTTTGAAATCAAGTCGGAGAGTGAGGTGCATAAGATTCGATAAAATTGACTAAGTTTATGGAAAGATTGTCTTTCAGTCTTATTTCATGGATTTATGTTAGGAATTGGAGAAAATTCAAAATATTCAAGTTGTAGCCCTTTGAAATAGTTCCAACGAAATATTGTGGAGCCTGAATGGATCTCTTTGCAAAAAGTTATGTGCGTTTACTGAAAAATGTGCAGTATGCACGCCCGGATGGTCCCGTGCGCGGCCGCGCACTTGTGGCAGTGCTACTGCCCTGCTTCGTCCCCACACCCCAAAATACAAAAACTTTCTCTAGAAATGGAAGGTCTCAAGAACCTAACTCCTCAAAGGTCCCTCCATCATCCAAGGTAAGTTCTAATGGTGATTCCAAGTTAATTTCAATTTTCCAATACCTTATTAACATGGGCAAACCATCCAAATCATTAGAAACTTGATCGAGACATCATTGTTGAGAGAAGAAACCCTAGAACTCGAATTCAAGAGGATTGAACGTCAAAAGGTAATATCTTTACCCTCTAATTGACTATAGAAATGGATTAATGATTATATACTCTAAGGGCATGAGATATGAGTTGATGAGTTTGATATAAAAGCATGAGCGATTATAGATTTGGGTTTTTGGTATTTGATTATTGATTAAGGGTGTTGTGTATCTTATGGGTGATGAAGAATGATGTTGATTATAACAATTTGAGATTTTAGAATTTATCTTGGAGCAAGAGAATGGGTTGTTGGGTGTAGAAACATCACTAATGAGGGTTATGAGGCTTTACGCCCACAAAGTGTTTGATGAAATGTCTAGGTGACCAAAACATGAGTATTATTGCAAATATGGAATCCCTTTGACTTGTATTGATATAGATTAAAGTTGAAAGGTTTGGCGAATATTGTATTACGCTTAAGAGCAGGAAGTTAAGGTATGTGAGGCTAACTCTCTATGTTTGGGAATGTTAATGATTCTCCCTACACTACGTTTCTTTATGACGTTACTAGTTGCCTCAGAAATATAGTAAATCCTAGTTCCCTGAATAGTTGCAGAACTTCTATTCTCTAGCTTCATAATTCGTTCATGACTTTCATTCCGAATGTTGTGAGCTCAGTGCGTAATCAAATTAGACTTGCGTTTAATTCCCATGAGTCTCAATCTAGATTACCAGCATGTCATAAATAGTTGAAGCATAATTTCTCATAATCAATTCATGAATATATGTCTCAATCCAGTTCTATTCAACATTTAAGTATCATGTATCTCAGTATAATTCAGTATTTCAGTATCATGTAATACACTACGATGCTCAGTTCCTATTTTTAAATACCCGAATGTTGAATACCTGTATTATGGCCCAAGGCCGAAGTTTATGCTTTATGCATGTTTCAGCCTGAGGCCGCAGTTAATGCTTTATGCATCTTTGGGCACGAGGCCGCAGTTTATGCTTTATATATCTTTGGGCCTGGGGCTGCAGTTATGTATACATATACTTGGGTATGAGGCCACAATTTATGCTTTATGCACTATTGGGCGTAAGGTCGCAGTTATATATATGTATACTTGGGCCCGAGGTCGCAGTTTGTGTATATATATATTGGGCCTAAGGCCGTAATTTTTTTATTCAGATAAACAAGTTGTTCATTATTCAGAAGAGGGAGTATTCATATCTTTACTTCCTTAGTTCAGTTCAATTATCAATTATCATTTCAGTTATCAGTTATCATTTCAGTTATCAGTTATCAGTTATCAATTCTCAGTTATCAGCTTAATATCAATTCCGGTATTTATAGTTCTTTATTTCAGTAGCTTTACATACCAGTGCAATTCAAATGTACTGAAGTTATTTTGGCCCAAGGCCTGCATCTCACGATGCAGGTAATGATTTACAGGTTAACGATTCAGAGCGCTAGGATTCTCGTACCAGCTATTTGGTGATCCCTAGTTCTTTCGGGGCATTATCATTACTTTTTAGTCTTTCAGTATTTATAAATAGTTAGTATTTTCAGTACTTCATTTGAGGCTTCATAGATTAGAGTAACAGTTAGACAAAGTCGCAGGATTTTCATGTTAAGCAATGTTTTCTACAAATATCTTCCAAAATTATATTAGTGTTTCCTCTTTTTGATTTATATCATTCAGACTTTCAGTATATCAGCATGTGCTAGTTTATCTTCCGCATTCAGTATGTTACGATATCACATGTTGATTCAGCCAGCCAGTTGGTTCGCTCGGTTACATGTAGTCAGGCACTGGATGCCATGTTATATCCAGGCCCAGGTTCGGGGCGTGACAAAGCTTGGTATCAGAGCACTAGGTTCAAGTGTCCTAGGGAGTCTATAAAGCCGTGTTCAGTGGAGTTTCCTTTATATGTGTGTGCCGGCCACGCATATAAACGGTTAACTACCAAGACATTCAGGATTGTCTCATTATTTTCTACTTTAGATCGTGCCATGATATCAAATTCAAAACGTATCGAATACCCAAGCAACGGGCAGGAAAAACCCAAGGTCCTAGAGAGGATGATCTCCCATTTGGGTATAATTATGGAGTATAGATTGGTAACAAATGAGACTTGAGAAGATGTTGAAAGTGGGATGCAATGGATAGCAATACAGATTAGAGCATAACCTTATCAGAAAGTACAAAAGCAGATATCATATTTTATGGTTATTAGTTTACCTCAATTACCAGTTGTACAATCTTTCAGTTAGCAGGCTTATGGTTATTTAGTATGTTAGTATTTAGTTATTCACTCCAATTTTCAATGCATCCAAATAAAGGTGACTTGTGAGTAAACACTGATGCCTATGGGTACAAAAAAAAAATATAAGTAACAGTGATAATAGCGAAATCTTCGCATATTTTAGGTCCGGATGAAGACCCAAGACTCGTCGTATGGTGCAAGAAGTGATTTATCAGATGATGGTATACGTTGAAGGATACGTTTGTGTATGGTTGTTGTATGTGTTTTACCCCACAGAACAATTTTTTTAGCGTCAGAAAATCTTCGTCTTCGATCTCTCTTCGCAATGCATTTTAATTCTTGGAAATGGAGGCACGGGTGGGATGATGGTAGTTTAGATGTCAGACCCCATATTGTAACAGGTTAAGAATTGAGCCGTAGCGGGCATATAGTTTTGGACAGAAAAGGGTCTAAGGGCAAAATACCTAGGAATCAAAACATTGGTTATTACCAACGATGCGTTTTTTTGTACGACTCATGCAGGTGACTAAAAAGATATGATGTATGAAATGAGAGCCAAGAGCAGCCGATACTGAATTTCAGGGGATGATTTTAAATTGTTCATATTTAGTCAAGTCAGAACTAAAAAGTACCATGTTAGGGAATTTCTATAAGAAGCGACAATTATTGTGAGAAAAAAGATATGACAGTTCCCCTTTAGGTGATGTGACTATGTATTTAGGCCGGATGTTTATAGTCTGTTATAATTTTATAGTGTAGAGAAAGTTTGAGGTTAGACATTCCAATTTTGTTTAAGATAGATAAAATTTCCCCAAGTGTGAACCATGGACAAAGTTAAAAAAAAAAAAAAAAATTGCATGTGACCATAGAACATGGTCGGATGGTGAGGGAAGTTACGAATAAACTTGTGCTTCACTTTAGTTATTCAAAGTAGAACTAGAAAATATGATGCTAGCAAGTGGTTAGTAAAAAAATAGTAAGTAACTTTTGAGTAGATACAGTGAATTACCAATTTCAACAGAGCTAGTAGAGGTATGATTTGATTTACTTAGCTAGGATAATACTAGTGAGTAGGTAACAATTTGAAATATAGAATGTGTGTTAGAACCCAAATATTTTAAGTTAAACCCAAAATATAGTGATAGTGAGAAAAAAATCAGCTAGGCAATAAGAGAAGAAACTGCAAGTACAAGACCTTAACCTTTGGTCTAAGGAAGATGTAAAAATCGTCAATAAGTTTGGTTAAAGATTTGAAACCCGCATAGTTATCACGAGATATAAAAATTATAAAATCATGCCCAGTTATGTATCATGAGGGTAGTTCCATTACACGAGACTCTAATATTCAAAGTATTGGTCAAAGACTTAGCTCACAATAGTGCTATAAGTATTTTCAAGAAGTACCTCAAAAAGATAATCAGGTATGGGAAATATAGCTCATGATTGAGGTAGACAAGAGAACTATGGTGAAAGAAGTTCAACACTTAGCCTAGCTAGGATTTCGACTTTCGGACACCGAAGATGGTGGAGTTGTTGTCCGAACAAGATTTGTTCCTCCTTTTAGTAGCCTAAGTGATGGAGAAACAATTTGATGATCCATACTTGTTGCAGGTGAAAGATATGATTCACAAGCATAAGATAAATGGCTTTTGTACAAAGGGAGATTATGGTACTTTGAGGTGCCAAGATGGACTGTGTATTCCAGACATAGATGGGCTCAGAGAGTGGATTATGTCTGAAGCCCAGAATTTTAGGTATTTTGT